TATGAGAAGTTGGGACTAAATAAACTGAATTTTAAAATCATGTCAAAAAAGAAAGTAAAAATCAGGAAAATTATGAAAAGCATAGTGAAGGGTAGGGTGTCTATTAAAACATAACACTACAATAGTTAAGATTATTTACATGACATATGAGTTAACAGATTATTTGAATAGAATAGAAAGTTCAGCAGTAGACCCAAATATAATTTAATTTATGATAAAGGTGGCTTCCCAGATAAGTGAGAAAAGATGGATTTTCTCTAACTGATATTTGGAAACGATAACCATTTGGAAAAAATGAAATTTTCTCTATCCTTCTCATCAACTTCAAAATAAATTCCCAGATGAATTACAGGTTTAAGTAAATATAAAATGAAGCAGCAAAGATACAAAAAGAAATGATGGGAAGGGAACCCAGAACCCATACAAGAAAAGATTTATAAATTCAACTGTGTAAAAGTTGAAAATGTTTGCATAACCAAAACTGGCAGAAGCAAAGAAAAATTACAACTTTGGGAAAATATTTGCAGTATATCATAGACGAAGATCAAATTTCACTCATGTGAAGATCTCCTATAAAACAATTATAAAATATCAATATTCAACAGAAAAATGGGCAACGGATAAGAGAGCAGAAAGAAATTACCAGTGATTTAAATGAAAATATGCTCATCTTCAGCCATTAGAGAAATGAAAATTAAAACTACCCATGTGCTGCTTTTTTTTTTTTTTTTGATTACTTATCAAATTGTTAAAGATTCAGATGTTTGTTACTACTACAAACATAGGGAAGCAGCATTCACTCACTTTGTTCTGGGTTTATGAGTTAATACAACCTCTATGGAAGGTAATTTGCTAATACCTATAAAAATTAAAGTGTACATACCCTTTAACCCAATTTTTGTACTTCTAGAAATTTATACCTCAAATGTATTTACCTATGTGCAAATTAATGTATGTCTTAAATTATTTATATTAGCATTGTTTTGCTGCAGTGAGAGTGCAAACATTGAAAACAACCTAAATGTCCATCAATAGGGAGCTAATTTCAAGAAATACAGTATATTAATACCAGTAACTAATCTCAAGATATATTATTTTGAAACAAAATTTAGGTCTAAAACAATATAAGCAATATACTACCATGTGTAAGCTTTTTTTGATTGCAGGAAATATACATAACATAAAATGCAACATTTTAAGTTTACCTACAAGTCAGTCACATAAAGTTCATTGATAGTATTGTGCAACCATCATCACTATCCATTTCTAGAACTCTTCATCCCAAATGAAATTCTGTTCCCATTAAGCAATGACTACCCATTTCCCCTTGTCCCAGCCCCTAGTAATATGTGTTCTACTCTCTGCCTTTGAATTTTGTCTATTCTAGGTACTTCGTATAAGTGGAATATTTGTCCTTTTGTGTCTAGCTTATTTCACTTAGCGTAATGTTCTCACAATTCATTCATGGTATAGCATGCATCAAAATTTTATTCCTTTTCAAGGCTGATTATATTCCATTATATATATATAACATTTTGTTTATCTGTTGATGAACATTTGGGTGGTTTCTACTTTTTGGCTATTGTAAATAATGCTGCCATGAATATTGGTGTACGAATATCTATTTGAGTCCCTGCTTTCATTTCTTTTGGGTACTTAGAATTGCGGGATTATGTATCAACTCTATTTAACTTATTGAGAAATTGCCCAGTTGTTTTCCACAGCAGCTGTACCGTTTTACATTCCTACCAGCAATGTACAGAGTTCCAGTTTCTCTGCATCCTTGCCAACACTTGTTATTTTCTTCTTTTTTTTTGTAATAGCTGTCCTCATGGGTTTGAAGTGGTATTTCATGTGGTTTTGATTTGCATTTCTCTAATGATTAATGATGTTTTCAAGTGCTTATTGACTATTTGTATATCTTCTTTGGAGAAGTGTCTATTCACATCCTTTGCCTGTTTTTAATTGGGTTATTTGTCTTGTTATTAAGTTATAGGAGTTTTTTATATATTCTGGATACTGACTCTACCAGAGATATAATTCGTAAATATTTTCTTTTGTTCCGTGGTTTGTCTTTTCACTTTCTTGATAGTGTCTTTTGAAGCACAAAATTTTTAATTTTGATAAAGTCCAGTTTATCTTACATTATTTGATTGCTTGTGATTTTCTTCCCAGCTTTATTGAAATATAATAGACAATTAGTTGCTCGTATTTACATTGTATAATTTATTGAAGTTTTTTCTTTCAATTATAGTTGGCATACAATAAAATATTGGTTTCAGTTGTACAGCAAAGTGATTAGAGATATATATAACTCAAAGTGATCACCCTACTAAATCTGGTTCCCTTACATATTTATTACATTATTAACTATTTTCCTTATGCTACACTTTATATCGCCATGTCTGTTTTGTAATTATCCACTTGTACTTCTTAATCGCTTTGCCCTTTTTTGCCATCCCCTCAATCTTCCTCCCATCTAGTAGCCCTCAAAATAGTCTCTGTATCTACGAGTTTTTTCCATTTTTGTTGTTGTTTTATTTTCTTTAGATTCCACTTGTACGTGAAATCATGCAATACTTGTCTTTCTCTATCCAACCCATTTCATTCAGTGCAATACCATGTAGGTCCATCAAGGCAATATCTTCTTCCATCCCCTTCCTTTTAGTCTGTGTGTCTTTTAATCTGAAATGAGTCTCTTGTAGGCAGCATATGTAGGGGTCTTGTTTTCTTATCCATTCTTTATTCCTGTTTTTAATACATGTTTTTTCTTCTTAAAGAAGTCCCTCCAGCATTTCCTGTAATACTGGCTTGGTGTTGATAAATTCCTTTAGCTTATTTTTTGTCTAGGAAGCTCTTTATCTTTCCTTCAACTCTATATGATAGCTTTGCTGGATAAAGTATTCTTAGTTGTAGGATCCTGGGTTTTCATCACGTTGAATGTTTTGTGCGAAGTCCTTCTGTCTTGCATAGTTTCTTGTAGGTAACTAACTGCTTTTCTCTTGCTGCTTTTAAGATTCTCTCTTTGTATTTAACCTTTGACATTTTAATTATGATGTGTCTTGGTATGGGCCTCTTTGGCTTCCTCTTTTGGGACTCTCAGAACTTCCTGGGGTTTTATGTCTATTTCCTTCACCAAGTTAGGGAAGCTTTCTATCATTATTTCTTCAAATAGCTCTTCAATTTCTTGTTTTCCTTCAGTTACCCCTATGACATGGATATTTTTACATTTAATTGTATTCCATAGACTCCTTAAATTATTATAGTCTTCGCTTCTTTTTCTTGCCGTTCCGGTTTGAGTGTCCTTGGCTTCCCCATCCTCTATATTGGTGGTTCGATCCTCTTCTTTATCCACTCTGTTTATTCCCTGTAATATACTCTTCATCTCAGACAATGTGTTCTTCATTTCTGACTGATTCCCTTTTATAATTTCCATTTCCATTTTTGTTTTTTTTTTCTTTGTTAAAGTTCTCACTGAATTCATCTACACTTCCCCTAAGTTCATTGATCATCTTTATAACCAGTGTTTTGAACTCTGCATTTTAGATTGCTTGACTCTATTATTCCTGGATCTCTGTTCTATTCTCTCATATGGTTTTTGTTTCTTTGTCTTCCCATTTTGGCCGCCTTTCTGTGTCTGTTTCTATGTACTAAGCAAAGTTCCTCAATCTCCTGGTATTATTAGCGTGGCTTTGTCTAGTAGGTGTCCAGTGGCTCAGTCCTGGGAGGGGTTCAGCTGCAGGCCAAATTTAGCCCAAGCCTGTTCCCCTCTGGGACCACTTGTTAAGACTCAACAAGCAATCCACAGATGCGGTGCATATAGTTGCCTCAAGAAACCACACCAGAAACTGAGGCCAGCTGCCTCCAGTATGAGTCTGGTGCTGCTCAGCAGGGAACACCAGACTCACCGAGGACACAACTGGATGTGGCTTGGGTGGGGCCATGAGGAGGAGTTTCAGGGAATCCTCTGGGTGGAGAGACTTCTGTTATCCAGTTCGAGGAAGACTCAGCTGTGGTGGCACTGTGTCCTCACACTGGGGTGGGGGGTGGAAGGAGAGGGCGGAAATGGGTGGTGCTCTATAGAGGAATAATGGATACTGCTGGCACTTCTGCCCAGGAGAGATCCTTGCCTCTGGCCCTCGCTTTGACACCTCAGTGTTCCCCTGTAAGTCCCTGGTGCCCCTGGTCCCACCCCCCGCCACGGCAGCCAACCTGGCACTGGTGCTTAGAGCGAGCAGGTCCATCACTGCAAAAGTCCACTTGCGGACATGGCCCCTTTAAGAAGTATCTGCAGCTGCTGGCCGCCATTGCCATAGCTTCTGTCCCACTCAGCCGCAGGACCAGGCAGCCTCGTGTCTTTGCCCGCTCCTACCTCCTACTGTTGCAGGATGATTAATTATTTCTCTCCTTAGTTGTAGTGCTTCTGTTCGTCTAGATCCCAGGTGACTTTCCTTGCTGTTTGCCCTGTGTTTCTGTCAGAACTTTGATTTGGTCACAAGAGGGATGAACAAAGCCTCTACCATCTATGCCATTTTTTCCCCGTCTTGATTGCTTGTGATTTTGTGAAACCATTGCCTATGGTCACACCTATGTTTTCTTTTAAAATTTATGCCTATGTTTTCTTTTAAGAGTTTTATAGTTGTGTCTCTTACAGTTAAGATCTTTGATACATTTGAGTTAATTTTTATATTTGGTATGAGGTAAGGTTCTAACTCAGTTCTTTTGCATGTTAAAATCCAGTTGTTCCAAGACTTATCTGTCGAAGAGACTATGCTTTCCCCATTGAATTGTCTTGGTACCCTTGCTGATTAATTAAAAACCCGATTATATCAGTTTGTTTCTATACTTTTCTATTCCATTGATCTACATGTCTGTGCTTCTGTATACTCTGTCTTCTGATTTTGAATCAGATGATTTTATTAATTCAAAAATAAAAATTTTAAATAATTGTTAGCTATGACCATAATTTATTCTAACTTCTGTCCAATTTACTTTTTCAGGAAAGTGTTCTGTGTTGTCATTCAAGGACTTCCTCTCCTGCAGGCCAACTGAAATTCCAGAAAATGACGTTCTGCTTTGTGAGAGCCGCTACAACGAGAGTGACAAGCAGATGAAGAAGTTCAAGGGACTAAAGAGGTTTTCACTCTCTGCTAAAGTGGTAGATGATGAAATTTATTACTTCAGGTAAAGCTTGAAAAACTAAGGAAGAAAGAACACTTCAGCTCTTAATAGTAAAACTGATAAATAGCGAAGTGCAGATTGTTTTTTTTATTATTTCTTAAAGTAGAGCAGCATATATTTTAAATAGAAAATACTAATTAATTCAATTAAAGATTAAAGGAAATCCTCATAATCTGCTGAAATGTGGTAACTGCTCTAACAGTGCCCTTGGCATAGATTCTAGTAATTGTAATATGGAGGCAGAAATCCTTGGTTCTGGTTTATAGCCTGTCTATTAAGAGATTGCACAGTTCCACAGATTACAAAAATTCTTTTCACTATATATTGGCAAATAGATCCCAACTTTGGACCTGGTGTTTTTGTGAGTATTCAACAGAATCCTTTAAAAACAAGCATCTGTAAGTAGGTGTGACTTTATAAGTACACATTTAAATCCCTTTCCTTGCTGACTTAGAGTGTACATTGCAAATTGCAGGAAGTCATTTCTAGATATTAAGACAGAACACTGCTTTCTGACCAATCCTGGAGTAGTGTTAGGTGACTTTTTTTTTTTATGTCACTTCTTTTAGAAAACCAATTGTTCCTCAGAAGGAGCCCTCACCTTTGTTGGAAAAGAAGATCCAGTTACTAGAAGCTAAATTTGCTGAGTTAGAAGGTGGAGATGATGATATCGAAGAGATGGGAGAAGAGGATAGTGAAGTCATTGAGCCTCCCTCTCTACCTCAACTTCAGACTCCCCTGACCAGTGAGCTGGATCTCATGCCCTACACACCCCCACAGGTGAAGGTGACAAGTTCCTGGTTACTTGTCTTTTCCTAACTTTGGTTTGCGTCAGATTCAAACCAAAGTAAGGAGACATCCAGCCCCTATATATGTGAATTTCAACCTAGAATTCTGCAAGACAAAACAGATTTTTTTTTTCACAATGCCATTATTTAAAATTTAATATGTTTTTTTAATTTCAAGATAGTTGTTTTTAATGGCAAGTTTAGTTAGAAAGCTCTCCTTGCCTTGTATTGAAGAAAAGCAATGAGGAATTGCATCCTGTTACTCTAGCTTTTATTGCCCCTATCTTTTTAGTCTCTCCTTTAGGACCTCATCTTTTGGTTGAGGTGATTCCTGTTGGTATTTTTTTCTCTTTCAGAATTTTCTCAAGACTTAGTTGTGAGGTCACCATTATAGATTGCAGTCATGGAATTCAGTAAAACTTCCATTTATTTCTTGTATAGTAAGCGGCAAGGAAGAGCTGTGTTTTAACCAAGAAAATGGCACTCTATAAACTGAATGTGTCTATAAAATAGTAGCTATTGAATCACATGTTCCTGGCTTCCAGAAACTTTAAGCAGTTAACCAAATGCAATATTCTGATGCACTATAAGAGCTTTCTGTCTTACAGTCTACCCCAAAGTCTGCCAAAGGCAGTGCAAAGAAAGAAGGCTCCAAACGGAAAATCAACATGAGTGGCTACATCCTGTTCAGCAGTGAGATGAGAGCTGTAATTAAGGCCCAGCATCCAGACTACTCTTTTGGGGAACTCAGCCGACTAGTAGGGACAGAATGGAGAAACCTCGAGACAGCCAAGAAAGCAGAATATGAAGGTAAATAGAGACTAAACACAACTGTCTCAACTTTCTAAGCAAGGGGATGTTTTCACGAATGCACGTGCATAGACAGGTTTTACTCTCTTATTCTTTACCACTTGCACATGAACTTTGTGTTGGGGACTGTCTCAAATGGCTCTCATCCAGCAGTTTAAATGCCAGCCTAGTCGCGACTGAGCAAGCACTGCCTTTGACTTGGCCTCTGATCCTGGCGTGGAGTTTTTTCCCCCCAAAAAAGTTCTCAAACCAATATTTTGGTATTAAAAATTGCATGATTTCTTCTTTCATTGAGTCCTGTAAGTACACATGTGTTGAGCTGGGGAATGATTATACAGGGTGTTAAATATAATTTTGTTTAAAATTCATCTGAAAGGGGGCTTTTAAAATCAGTGGACTTCTGTTATGGCTCTTGATAAGCCATTGTTTAAACTTCAAGCTGAAGATTGGCTGAAGCGCTTGGTTTCCTAGGCCAGTCCTGGCCTGTGTTGTGTCTGCATTCATAGCTACTTTTAAGGCACTTGGGTTTTCTTTGATAACCCAACTGCCTTCATTTTTCTTTTACTCTGTAATTAAATCATTCTGGGCCATGAGCTATATGATTCAAGGATTTCGTGGTTCTTAGCCATTAGGGACAAATACTTGAGAGAGACTTTTTATTGTTTTTTGTTTGTTTTTTAGTATCAGGAATGGCTTGAATAAAGTAGTAAACATTAGATTAGACAGGACTATTGTCCTTGGAGCTGTATTTTCTCCATTTGGAATTGTATGTAATGGTTTATTTTGCCAGTTAAGAGCCATCATCACTCAGTGGTTGACCACAATGGTCAACCATTACTCTTCTTGGCTGGTTCCAAATCCATTATTTTTCATCAAACGTAAAGAAATTAATTGATAATATTGATTGATTACTATGAAATTAAACTAATATTTTGCAGAACATACTTTGAGAAATCCTAGGCAGTTCCATAAGAACCTAGAATTTTGGAGAGCTTTGATATTTCAGACCTTAGTAAAAGTTAAGACCAAATATATCATTCAGTTGGAGGAGGAGTATTGCAAATGAAGCTTACGTGGATGTAAAGCCTAGTCCAGCACAAATGAAGCTAGTAATACATGGCTGGTTATTTAGAGTTTGAACAAGAGAAATGTGTCTGGAGATAATGTAAAAGTAAAAATGCTATAGCAGAGCTGAAGTGAGAGGGGAATGATGGCTTCTGAGAAATTCTCCCAAAATAAAAGGGAGGCTAAAATTCAGTGGAAACCAAGTTACATGACTCAGCAGTGCCTGTCTGAGACACAAAATCTAAACTTTCAGTATTCTGACTCATCGAATTCAAAACCCAAAGTTTTGAGTTTGGCTGGCCTCATTTAATATTTCTCTTTTCTAAGACAGCCTAAGTGGCTCCTCCCAGAAGAAGCCAACAGTATTCAATGCACAGGCTTGAATTGTTCTATTTTCAACTCTGCTTTTTTGCTCTCCCATTTTGCTGTGTCATTTGTCTAATGAAAACACTAGAATTTAATGTAGAGGTCTAGGTTATCAATGTTTTTTCACTGCTGGCTCAAGGAAATAAGTAGGTTGTTTAAATGGCTTTTGTCCCTCATGGTCATTGTAAAGAGGATCTATAAACTGGGACAGTGTTAGTGATGACAAGTCTATGCAGGCAACTGTGTCGCAGCCAAGGAAGATTTGACTTGTTAGACTTTCACATTCTTACACTGAAAGAGCTCTTGCTACTTGATTCTCTTTAAAGCCATGTGACCTCAAGTTGTTTTCCCCCTCCTTAGATGAGCCAGTGGTAGCCTTTTGAATTCCATGTTGGAGGGTTAATGTGCGGTAGTTGGAGTGTGATACCAGGAGTCAGGGCCACAGGTTGCTAGTTCTATCTGTATCCTTGTCCGAGTCACTGCCTGTCTCCCAACCTCAGTTTGCCCAGGTAAAGAGTAGGACAGATTTCCTATTTTTGAATGGTGAGGCAAAATAAATTCTGTATTGTGGGAGCTTTGGGAATACACATTTCTAGAGTGCTCCAGTAAGAGACCAGCCTGCTAGATCCCAAAAAGACTAGGAATGTGATTGTTGGAGCTAGTGGTTATGGAGATGCAGGCAGAGTAGCTCAAAGGAATGAGACGTATAGCAAGGTGTCTTCCACAGCCCAGAACTGGCACAAGCAACTGCTCTTCTTGTATTTCAGGTGAAATAAGAGTGAATTCTGGAACTTTTGATGATTTAGGGTGATTTATTGTCAATATTGAACTGCTCAGCTTTAGTAAACCTGGTTCTGTCAATACATTGTCCATTGCTTCATATGTGTATCTATAATTATTCCCTTTTTCTGATAACTGTAGCCTGGAGTATCATGCATTTTTTTCCTTTGGGGTTTATTAAACATGACCTTTTTGCTTCATTAGAATGTAGAAATTAGCATGTATTTTCCCTAAAACCTTGTGGAGGAGGCAGTGAGCTACTTTTCCCTTACGGAGTTAATTTTCTTCAGCTGCTAAACCCCATGACACTAATAACAAGAGTCCTCAAATCTTAGTAAAATTGGGTGCAAGGAATCAGGAAAATATAGTAAGTAACAATTGTGCCAAAAATTACAATGGGCCATGGAATTGCTTCATGTTGAAATTAAAAATAATTTGCAAAGCTATTAATACTAGAATAATAGTAGCACTTCTCATCTTCAGGGCGCCTTGCGAGATTAACCACGTTGGTTACGCTGGTGACGTGTTTAAATAAAACCTGTGCTTTCTGAATGTGTGTTGCAGTCTTAACATTCTTGAAATCTTTGCAGACCAGTTCTCAAGATGGGATAGGAAAGCTGGACCCTAGGTTACCAAGTGAAATCGGCCCGACTCCTGTGTTGAGACTAGTCATCTACTGTTCCTTCCATTGAGACAGAACTGTTGCCTGTGTTTTTACTAGTCCTGTTGAATGCAATGGATGGTGTTTTGAATTCCTGGGTTAAAAACAGAATTGAAAATCTGAAATGCCTTTACAGAGCGGGCAGCTAAAGTTGCTGAGCAGCAGGAGAGAGAGCGAGCAGCACAGCAACAGCAGCCGAGTGCTTCTCCCCGAGCAGGCACCCCTGTGGGGGCTCTCATGGGGGTGGTGCCACCACCAACACCAATGGGGATGCTCAATCAGCAGTTGACACCTGTTGCAGGTAAAAACAGGAGCTAAGACCATTTTTTTCCACTTTAAGAAATTCCTTCATTTTTTTTTTCTCCATTGAGGAGTAGGCCACAGTCTCTAGGCTTTTCTCATGACAAATTCAAAGTTTGAAGTCATCTATGTTGTCCTTATATTGCCTTTCCCATATAGGCAATGCCTCCTCTCTGCCCCAGAAATGAGCCCTGGACCCAACCCTGGAATTTGGTAGGAAGCAGCTCTTCCCTGGCTGTGAGCATGGTCTGGTACTGTTTTTCCACTCCAGACTGCTCTTGAATAGAGCATTATAGCAGAAAATATAAATACACCCTGAATTCTCTTTTAGAGAGACAGCCAAGAGAAAACACAAAACTAGTCTTTAGAAGATGTTAATTTTCCCGTCTCATTCCAGTATTCAGTTTGCCTTGTTCTACTATAGCCATCCTTAAAAGACTGACCATTTTAAAGGATTTTTGACAATGAATTATAGATCTCAGTCACCAGTGTGCATGACTGCTAAGTGGAATACATAGTCCTTATTCAATTCATTGTGCCCACTCTGTAATGCTTTTCTATTTGATTACATTAAACTGCATTTTCTGTTAGTATCCCAGTCACATATTAAAAAAAAAAGAAAAGGAAATGATGAATGTGGTTTGCTTGTGTATGTTGTCTCTGGTTCTGGTAGCCATAGCAAGTTCGGCTATTCTCAAATTGGATATTCTTGTTTGACGTGTCTCCAATGAGAAGCCTGCAGACCACTTCTTGGGTCCCTTCTTTGTGATCTCTCTAAGCCTGGTGAAGTCCATAAAAACCCTCTGTTTCTTCTTAAGCAGAAGCAGTTTGACCTCTTTACATAGGGAGCCTGAGACAGTGTCATTCAAGGCAGGCTCATTGAGATGCTATTTTGTTTTTGCTTTTGCTCTTTTTTTGTATTTGCTTTTTGAGGAAGAGTAGCATAGAATAACTTTTTCATTGTTGCTCCTACTTTTCATGATGGCAAGTTCTTAAATGCACTATCGCTGAACTCAGCAGTTGCACTCGCCAAAGCACATCGAATCATGGCTTTTCAGTACTTTCGGTGTAACTGATGTTGATCTAACAAATCTCATAATCACCTTCTCTATTCCATGGCCCATTTTGGTTAATGGGGTTCCAAAGGTTTTTAGAAATCAGGCCTTGAACATGGGGACTTTGAAAGTTAGAATTCCCTTGTTGACATTCTGTTTTGTTCAATTTGATGTGTGATATTGTAGCACTGTGCCCTTGACTGAAAAAGCCCAGGGACACATTAACAAAATGAATTCAAACAGCTAAAAACATTAAAACAACAACAACAACAAAAAAAAACAGCAGCTGCAGCATATTAGCTTCCTGTTGGGGAATAACATCATAGAGCTCTGATATGTGGGGAGATTGGGGACCCCTTCTAGAAAGTCTCTGCTCCATTATTGTGTACTGCCCAGACTTCTGGCCCATGGGAGTGAAGGGCAGACATTCTCTACAGTAACCAGTCTTTGATCTACATTGGTAACTTTGCAGTTAAGTGGGCGATTTTTCATGGGTTTACAGGTTTCATAGGGCCTAAGTTTTAGCCTTGTTGCTGAGACCTGCTTTGCTTACAAGCATTGAAGCTCATTTGAACACATGTGACTGGGATAATAAATGCCAAAGTACAGTTTAATGAAGACAAGTGTCATGTCTTTCAGTTCTTAATAATTTCTTCAACCACAGCCCATGAAGGGTGCGTTCAGATGGGCTTTTGTAATTGAAAGCAAAGCCTCCTAACATTCTTAAATTCCTACCTACTTATCCCTAAAAGCTATATCTAGTGGTGTGGTTAAAAGGCAGTTTGGCAACATTGGATCTTCTCATGTTTAAGATGATGGTGGCTGTTCAAAAGTAGTTTTTACTCTCTGAACTCTTTTTAAAAATGAAACTCATAATTCTATTTCATGTATAGAGGTATTATATTTAAAATTTGTTTTATTGGTTCGTGTAATTTTTTCAGTCATGTTAGATATGACTAATGAAGCAGGGCTGAATCAATCTCAGAATTATCAGTAATTTTATAGCTTTAAAAAATGAAACTTTTATAAATAAATAATCCTTTAGGGAAAGTCAAAGAGTAAAATCCTTAGAATCTTGAGTTTTCCACTATTTCCCAGAGTCCCTCTACAAAGAGTATTTTATAAAAGTGAGGTTTGGTGCACTAGTCCTTCAACCCTCCCTTTGTACAAGAAGTTTGACCAAAGGTGATTTGCATTCTGGGGGGAAGCCTTATATTTTGTTCATTGCGTTTATTTCAAACCCTAGAAAAGTCAAGTTATTTTTCTTAAAAAAAAAAAAAAAAAAAAATGTCGTGTGGCTTCAAAGGACTTTCGATCAGTGAGTCTTTTACATTTTGAAATTATTTGTTTCCTTTTACTCCTTTTGCCAAAAATACTTGTTTCTTGAAACTTTTCCCTAGCCAGCAGAAAATATTTTGTCATATGAAGATGCACTTTGAAAATAAAGGAATAAAAAGCCTCTGTTCGCAGATATTTTGTACCTCATTTAAAATGCTCCCTGTTACCTGATGGTTTATGTGAGGATATTTGTGAGTGTGGAGACAGTAATGACAATTGGCATTTTCTCATGTCAGCAGAGCCTGATTCTCCAGCCATTCCTCCTAGGGTTTGCATGCAGGCTACTGAGTGACCTGGGCTTGGGAGGGTTTAGGATTTATCTTTAACTTGTTTTGCGATCTAAAGATGAAACATCATACATTGTGATGGGTCTTAGCAGTTCCCCAGCTCAAGCTTGAACATGATGGATTCTTACCAGCAGTGGTGGGGCCAAAAGAGAGGAGTGGATGTAGAAGTCTTGAAAAATTCTTGTCATCCTCCCCCAAGCTGGAGAACCATGCTTTGTGATCTGGGCTGTGCGCCTCATTTCCCTCCATTCCAGTTTCCCCTCATGTGTACCCCTGATAGGCATATGAGTGTGGGCAGAGTGGAATGATGGGGTTATTACCGTTCAATTAGAATTGCAGTTGCAAAACTGGTCACACTGTTTGAACAGCTTGCAATAATCACGACCTTGGGAAGGCTGTTACTGGAACTCCTCTTTATTTTTAACTGAAAACATGAAGCATATTTATCCCAGGGAAAATAACTACAAATAATAATATACTAAGTACTAATTCATCCAGAAATGTTGGATTTCATACTTGTAACTTTTTATTTTGTTCATTATTGCAACAAAATAATTGCACTAATTGCTGTTGTATCATGCAATACTAAGGGTGCTTTATTCATTGGTAGTGCATGTGGGAGGTTTGTTTTTACTTAGCTTATGTTGCATGTTAATGATGCATGTCTGAAATTTGTTGTGTCCTTCAAGGCATGATGGGTGGCTATCCGCCAGGCCTTCCACCTTTGCAGGGCCCAGTTGATGGCCTTGTTAGCATGGGCAGCATGCAGCCACTTCACCCTGGGGGGCCTCCACCCCACCATCTTCCGCCAGGTGTGCCCGGCCTCCCGGGCATCCCACCACCGGGTAAGAACTCCATCCTCATTCACTCATTAATCTCATCTTCGTATTCTTGTTTTTCTTCCTTCAGCCAGTTGTTCCAGGAGGCACCTGCTGCCCATTGTGGGCAGGCCTTCCCTCTCTGAGAATCCTAAGGATGTCAGCAGCAGAGCTGCTGAGATCCCAGGGATGTTGAGCAGGTGGCTCAGCACCTGTGCCCTTGGGCACCTGGCTGCCTCGCAGCAGCACAGGACATGGCAGAGACCAGATTCAGCAAACCAAGGGGCAGGAGGCACACTCTGAAATCACACAATTTGACAGGTGCTCAAAAAGCCAAACACAGCCTAAAAAGTCATGCCCTCTTTATCTGTGAATGAAGTTTCCCAAATTGCTAGTTGAGAGTCACATATTAAAGCACTTTTTTGCTCCTGAGTGCATTTCTTTCTCTGATTCAATTCTTATCTCACAAGGTTTTCTGAATAGAGTCCCTACTCCATCTCTTGCTTCTCAAACAGCACTTCCAAGGGTATTGCAGAGTCACTAATGTAGGACTCTTCAGAAATCCTTCAGTCAGTCCTTCTAGGAACAAAAAGGAGGGAGGGAACAAATTTGCAGTGAATTAGTTTTCCATATCTGAGTCCCCTAAGAAGCATGACATGACATTTTAAAGAACAGTATAGTCTACCCTACTGTTGACAATTGTTTGTCAATAGCTCAGAAGTTATTTCGTATAGAAACATATAAATGGAGTCCAGAAATAGTGACAGTGTTACTTTATAATTAGCAAGTTGAAAGATTATTATAAAAGGAAAATCATAAGTTCCCATATTAATTGCCATCATATTCAAAAGAACTGACCATTAGCTATTATATAGTTGGAAGGGAATGTGACCTTAAGATGACTTGGAATTGATTGCATTTGGTCTATTATCCAAAATATCAGCAGAAGGCTGACCCAGATGATAACATGTAGAAATGTTAGATTTGCTTACACTAGTATTGGACCTGCTGATCTTAGGGTTATACAGAGTTCCAAATGATGCTTCAGAGGGTGTACCCAGCAGTGTGCAGGGTGAACAAACGTGGGTTGGCCTAGAACTGCTAGCCATACTCTTTGTGAATATTGCTAGAGAATGGCCATAACTCCTCAAACGTGTTTGATCCAGTTGTACCCAAAGGAGGGAGTGCTTCATTATGGAATTGGTAGCCTATGTATGAAGTGCTGTTACAGCAAGAGTTAGTCATAAAATAGGTGTGCCCGTGTAACAGATAGAATTGGTCTTAATTCTGTGCCTTCTCACCTTGGCATAGGGTATGTGACTGAATCAGTCAGACCAGGTTGACTTCTAGGTGCATGTGGTATCCAGTGGGAGCTGCATCTATGGCCATTTCCCTCTAGGTAGCAGATACTCTGGTCAGTGTTAAGTTACAGTTATCTCTTCCTTCACATTTTAAATTGCATTTGAAGGAAACATCACACACCTGATTATAGTCAGGGAGACAGGGAAGAAACCCTCTTAGTGCCTGCACACACATGGTGTAATTGGGCCTTGAGAGAATTCAGTGAATTCTGGTGATTCGCCCACATTCTTACCTGCTGCCCCGTGGCATGGCATTTGTAAACAGAGGAAGCTGAGGAGGTTGCTGATTTGTTTGTGCTGCTTTGCAAAAGTACAGGCAGCTCAGGGATGCCCACTGTGTTGTGGAATCTAAGACCAGTGAGGGTCCTTTGCAGCAGGGGTTAATATGTTGCTGGAGCAGCAACTTAACCACTACAGCCCCTTCATTCATTCACAAATAATCATTAGGATCCTACTATGATGATCCAGGTATCCTTCTGGGTACTTAGAATATAAAAATCTCTGCTTTGTAAATAGAAAGCTTATTTTTACTTTTTATTTTCTAACAAATGTCTTATAGTTCCTGGAAACAGCACTCTTAATTCTGAATGTTAGAATAGTGGGCTGGTTCTGCCTGGTCAAAGTATCAACATTTTGAATCCAGGAACTGTAAAATATGAAGTTAGCTCCTTTTGATCCTTTTATGCAGCCAGCAGGATTTGTTTAAGGTTTAAACAGCAGTTCAGTAGGGTTTTGGTTATAGTTTGTTAGTTTTTAATGAACTGGGTCCCTTGCCTATTTCTGTGTTTTATGAGAATAGTAAGTGGGTGGTCCTGACATGATGATTACAATAACCCCAAACACTAAATTTAAAATGCCTCATTATTATCAGCTAGTACCTGAGACAAATTGTGAGGAGTCACCAAGGAATGTTTACAAAATTATTATCAGATACATAGTACAAATATAGTAAGACCATGAAATCTTTCTCTTAACTTTGTATTTGAAGTGACAGCAGCGAGGCTGCTCTGCTTCCAGATGGTCCCTTTTCATAGTACTGCTCTATCAGATGGAAGTGTCCTCTCTCTCTCAACATTAGTGACTCCAGCTATAACCAGAGGTGTTGGTGGCCTATAAGTGGACAGTAAGGATGTGCCCCTGGCCTCCACAAAGTTCATTTATCTGTGCACTTGCACAACCTCTTCCCTTGTGTCCATAACTGTCCTAGCATACTACAGACTGCTGAGCCTGATTACAACACCATTACTGCTAAAATTAAATACAGCTTCAGAAGAAAAATACCTTGAAAATAGAGGTGTATTCTGACTATAGCTTACCTAGGGAAATACTAGAATTATATGCAGGGTTCAAATCATTTCAAAGCAATGCATAATTAATACACATCTGACAGGTTGTACTAGCATTGTAAAGTACCTACAAAACAAAAGTTAAATTTTCTGTTTGAATGCTACATCCTGTTTTGGGTGCTCAGGGTTCCTATCTACAAAGATTCAAGGGCAGAGATCCATAGGCTTGCATTATAAATGGCATCATTTCTTATCAGTCAGTAGTTTTTCAGTCATGTCAACCCAGAGCCTCTAACTGTGCCATTATATTCTGAATTACAGGGGTGATGAACCAAGGAGTGACCCCTATGGTAGGGACTCCAGCACCAGGCGGAAGTCCATATGGACAGCAGGTGAGCCTCCCAATTGGATTTTCTGGGACTTGACAGAATTCACCTTATCTTCTTTCTCAGAATATGTGCCGAGTATTTTTTTTCCCCTCACTATGTGGTCTATGCTCTTTCAGGTAGGAGTTTTGGGGCCTCCAGGGCAGCAAGCACCACCTCCATATCCTGGCCCACATCCAGCTGGCCCCCCTGTCATACAGCAGCCAACAACACCCATGTTTGTGGCTCCCCCACCAAAGACCCAACGGCTTCTCCACTCAGAGGCCTACCTGAAATACATCGAAGGACTCAGTGCTGAGTCCAGCAGCATTAGCAAGTGGGACCAGACTCTGGCAGGTAAGGAGAGTTCTTCTCAATAAACCTTTACGAAATCCACGCTTCATTAAAGTCTTCTTGCTGCTATTGGCATATTATATCAGGGTAAATACCCATTTTTCTTAAACAAGTAAAATAAATAGTATATTTAATAGAAGGTTTTGGAGCTTCTTTGTATATTGACATCACACTTTGAAAAATTTTTTGCTGTATTTCAATGCATAGTTTTGTCATAAACATCACTAATCTTTTTAAGTATATTCTGAGTTCATTCAAGTATTTTTCAGGCATTTGAGCATTAGCATAGATGCATTTGGATAAATTTAAAATAATTCCACCTCAATTTAAAAAAAAAAATCAAAATGTTTCTATTAAACTATGAAGTTATTCATTTAGTTCAGCAAACAATGTATTTTCAGTACATACTAAAATAACTTGCCTAGTTTCTGGAAAGAAATTTGGAAGTTTCTCATTCTTCATTTCTAAACCAATTTGATAATTTTATTTCTTTTTAAAGAGTAGTAGGTATGTTTTCCCTTTCTTCACATTTTCTTTTTAGGAATTTTTGTTAAAATTGAAGTAATTATTAAATATCAGGAGTTCCTACACCAAAATAGTAATGATCTGATCTTTTAGATATTTGTGCAACTCTTGTGTTCTCAGTCTAGTAGAGAATTACATTTAATTGTGCAGCTCTCGTGAAGTCATTATTAGAAATTAGATAATTAGATAATTTCTAAAATACAAACCATAATGAGACCTCTTTGGCTAGGTAGTCTCATGGCTAAGTGAAGTAGTTTTCTAAAAACCAAGAACCTAATAAAATGATAAAAGAAATTTACTTAGAAATGTTCTGCAGAGGTAAAATTCATATAACATTTAATAAATAATAAATGTTTTTTATGTTTTAATAAATGTCTCAGACCTTAGGACTGAGCGAAAATTCCTATTTATTTTTCAGCTCGAAGACGTGATGTCCATTTGTCAAAAGAACAGGAAAGCCGCCTACCCTCTCACTGGCTGAAAAGTAAAGGGGCCCACACCACCATGGCAGATGCCCTCTGGCGCCTTCGGGATTTGATGCTCCGAGACACCCTCAACATTCGCCAAGCATACAATCTAGAAAACCTATAATCACATCAATTAAGTTTCTTTTATAGAAGCATAAAGAGTTTTGTGGAATAGTAGCCATTTTAGTTACTGGGGGTGGGGGGAGGAACAAAGGATGATAATTTTTATTGCATTTTACTGTACATCACAAGGCCATTTTTATATAAGGACACTTTTAATAAGCTATTTCGTTTTTGTTATATTAAGTTGACTTTATCAAATACACAAAGATTTTTTTGCATACGTTTCCTTCGTTTAAAACCAGTTTCATAATTGATTGTATATGTAGACTTGGAGTTTTATCTTTTTACTCTTTGCCATGGAACTGAAACCAACAAAGGTTTTGTCTTGGCTTGGGGTTTTTTGTTTTGGTTTTTTTTTTTTGTTTTTTTTGTTTTGTTTTGTTTTTATAAAAGAAAAAAATATATATATACACACACATAAGAGTTTACAGATTAGTTTAAGTTGACAATGAAATGTGAAGTTGGTCCTAGTTTACATCTTAGAGAGGGGAGTGTACTTGTGTCTGTTTCATGTGCCTGAATAGCTGAAGCTACTTTCCTAGAAACTGTGTCTTACAGGGTAAGTGAAAGGCTGTTATTTAGGTTATACATGTTTGGCAGACATGACACGTTTGTTAACTCAGAGGCTCACTGCAGAAATCTAAAGTCAGTGCTGTGCATCTTTGTGCAGCTAGTGCATCTCCTGGACACCTGGAAGGAGAGAGCACTTTTTCTTGTGCTGAGTTAGACATCTATGGTGTCAGTTATCTTTGCAGAACATGTGCACAACCCTGAATTATATTTAGTCTTGGCAGGTAAGTTTAAGGGTACTTTTGATCTATTTATAATGAATTCACAATGCCTGTACATGTTAGATGATTTAAAATTTTAAATCTCTTACATTGAAAAACATTGAAGTTCATCTTGAAGAAAGCATTGAGGTGTGCATGGAGGTGATTTATTTTTAAACATAACATTTAACCTTACATAGGGAGGGGAGTGCATAACCAGATATGAGCTGCACCAGAAGCATAATTGTAAAAGTATAGATCACCTGCATATGCAGATGTTTTAGTATTCTTTGTTTCCTTCTCAGATGTGGCATTTTCTTCTTCTAAGTTTCAATGATGTAATTCTCCACCAGAAATTTAAGACTTTCTCAAATATTTTTAAAATTTAGCTTGCGCTTTTGAATTTCAGGAGAATCATAATTTAAGAAAATGTTCACAGAAAAGACCATTACAGATCCCAGACACTTGGGTTTGATGACCCTCTTTTTTATGACCCTAGAATAAACATTCGGAGGCAGAGTATGATACTCAGACAGGTAGAAAGCATCAAATATGGAACAGTATTTCACTAGGCATTTTGGAAACCTACTTTATTGTAACAAGGCGATTGCCATTGTGGACGTTCCACTGCTGTTTGTAAGTTGAAAGACTGACTCTCAGAGGATATTTTTTTCCTTTTAATCTGGTATGAATTAATACCTGGATATTTAATTACCACTTACTAAATCATGGGGACAAGAGAGTATAGAATGGAAAAAGTCTCTTGTATCTAAATCTTTAAATACAAGAAGCCCTTGTAACTTAATTGCCTATAGTCAACCACTGGATCTCAGTTCGCATCAAGTATTTTAAATAATTCTGAATTTTTTTAAATGTATTGCCACAGTATGTCAGTACATTATTGTTAAATTGAATCAGATAAATCTTCAGTTCCTGGTTATTTGGGCCATTGCATCATCATGGACTATATAATACAATCAGTTTATTTTATATCTAGACATCTTTGAATTACACCAAAGAACCTGAAATTTAATTTTGGTTAAGTTATTTATTTATTCCATGCACCATTTTATTTCCCTTTATAAGGTCTGGATGAGACTTCTTGAGAAGCCTCTAAAAACTTCACTGTGGGCTACGTTGGGCATTAGAAGCCAGAGCACTCCTCCTCCAGGCTCCTTCCCAGTGTCTAGTGGTGCTGTAGAAACCATAGATACAGCCAGGGGCTTCCCTAAGCCACTGCAGAGCCGGGCCAGGGGGCCACTAGGCAGGCCCTAATTAAGTCTTTTTTAAAATATTTATTTTAGAATCATGTCTTTCTGTATATTAACTTAGAAAATATCAGTAATATTTAGGATATAAGGTTTGAGGTCAGCCATCTTCTAAAAAAGAAAAAAAAGTCCTAACTTGAGAAAGTACAGGTTAACTATACACCTTTTTTTTTTTCCCCCCATAAGTTTTAGGAACTGTAGTGATATGGCTTAGAAAGTATAATGGCCTAATCGTTAGCAAAATGTAAGTTCATGTGGAAAAGAATTTTGTTTGTGTGTGGGGGGGAACCTGTAGGTTTAAAATAGTACATCAGCCAACTGATTGAAAAGGCCTTGAATTGCTTTGTTTTTGAACCCACCCTCCTCTTCCTATGAGGAAGAATTGAGAGGGGACGCTTCTTTGTGTAAAATTTCCAAATTGGTGTTGTTGACTTTTGAGCTTGAACATTTTCAGACCTGATTAAAACTTGGTTTAATTTCTGTATCAAAAGAGGTTTAACTGGTAACTAGTCTTATAACATGTATGTATCATATGTTTGTTCATCTAAAGCTTTTTAATCCAAATAAAAAGTTTGCAAAGTGATTTGGCTTAACCAGTTTGGTGGTTCTGTTAAAGCTTGTGTCAGATGTTAGTTTCAAGCAAGTTTAACTCCTGCAAGCTTTGATCTTATGCTGACATGGAAGCAGCTACCAATTTAGGGGAAGAGATCTCAGGTGGAAGCAAGTGTCCAGACACTGGTTCAGGGCTCACTGCATTAACACAGAAGCTGAATGTGTAGTAGTCACACTGCAACCTAATGTGCCCCACACCAAGCCTCTGAGGCTGGCCGTCAAGGAATTCCTAACATCCTCAGCACAGGCAGAAATGCAGCTTGAAGTTAAAACCAAAGAGAGTTACCGTTGGCAGAAGGTAAGGAAAGCATGTCCTGGATCATAAAGCAGTGTGTAACCCATTTCAAACAGCTGTCTGTGGCCAGAAGAGATAGTGGCTCAGGTATGTCTTTAATATGTTTGTAATCTCTTAAAATATGACATTTTTAATAGAAAGTATTAATAAAATCAACCATTTTCCTCTAATATCACTGCACATCTCTGGGGTTCTGTCATCCTAAGAGTTTAGGGCTGTACTACCATCTATGCTCATGAGCATATTTTGAATGATCACTGATGTATAGTTAAAACATTCCAGCTGAACACTAAGAGCAAACAAATACTAAGTGTTACTCTGTTCCTTTTTGGTTTGGAAGTGTGCTAGGTCAGCTGAACAAAAGTTCAGAACTGAACAAATAGACTAATTCTATCCCCAACTTGTACATGAATATAGCCAGAAATTCCAAATGTAATACATGTATGTGAAGACTGAAAACATACTGCTCTACTAGGAAATTGCTTTGGAAAACATCATGGTCCAAGTGTATATTTTTTTGAAGAGAGGTAACTCAGTGTAAAAAAAATGAAACTTAGAAAAAGATTGATGTGATTAAATTACATAGTTAGATTTGGACACAAATTCCAAAATAGGACTGCTAGATGAACAAAGTTACCATGTGCCTAACTTAGGGACTTACCTTATCAATTGAGATTATAAAGCACTAGAATGGAAGTAGATTTCTAGTGACAAATGCTAATTAGGTTTTCATCATTCTGATATTGTGGTTTTTAAAATTTGGGTTATTAAATTTTTGCCTCATAGTTGACACTAGGGGGCACTCAGATCTGTAATCAGCATATAAGAGCATTCATTGCTCTTTAAATTATTCAAATTCCCTTAAATAGTTTCAGTGACTGATAGCGTAGTCATAATACATAGGAGGGTTTAAAACAAATTTTGAGGCAAAAATGTAACTAGGAGAGCTAAAAAAAATTTTTTTGAGGCAAAGTTACAAAGTTTGCACCTTAGGTAACAAAGATTAGTTTTTAACTCTAGCATCCAAACTAATGTGCTCTGAAAGTATTTTCAATTTATATAAAATTTTTTTTTTTAAGAAGAAGAAAACTCTTGGGAAGGTCAACACAAATTTTAGGCTAGTGATTCTCTCTGGGGTGGAGGCAGGAGGGTGGGCAAGGGAAGGAACCCATAGCAGACACAAAAATTAGCTGATGGTTTTATTAGCATTTATAACTATTCTTTTTAAAAGGTGTATACTGGGTGTATATAGAGAATATGTAATATTACATATTCTCTATATCAAATATTAAACTCTAAAATGGGGTGGAGGAACTTATGTTATGACATAAGGCCACATAATAGAATCATACCACAATTTTAATTTCTTAAGCAGCAGTCTAATCACTAAAATGTCTATGAGGTTTGGTTCACCAGGAATTCTTTAGGTGACACAAGTACACATGAACCACTTTCCTATCCCTGGTGCTGCTGGTCACACTCAAACCATCTCTGAGCAGTGACTCTTGACCTTGCTATACGTAGTACTTTTAATGAGATGTGAGTAGTTAGTGGCTCTTCATTTATACTGAATTATTTCTAACATAAATGGATTTAGAAAAAAATCCCTAGAAAAATTTAGGAAGGGGTATGTTTGTGACAGAGATCAATAACTTGATAACCTGTGGCATTAAAGCATCTGCTTCATAAAAATAGAAACTTTTGAAATTTAGTCAATATGTAGATATTTTCTTGTTTGAAAAGATGTTAAATATGGTTATCCAAGCATGGGAAGATGTCTTTGTTTTTTAATATCAGCTGTCCCAAACTTTTTCTGGGTCAAATTGCAAAATCTCTGCCAATAGACTAAGCCTCTGATTTAGCTGAAGTGTGATTGCTTTGCA